CCCAAGTAGTAACCAAAAAAAAAAACGGTCATATACATGATACATCCACGTTCGGCCGTAATTGCGGCCAGATACATACAATACAAGATAGAGACAGTGTGGGTACACTCTCAGTAGAGATGCGCAAATTCCCCGACGCGTTACGGCCAGGCTACGCTCCTGGCACCCACCCCTCAGGGGCCTTCTCCACAAATCCCCTTGCGGCACCACCCACCTTATTTTCCCACCATCTATCAGAGAATAGAAGGAGGGGGGGGGGGGGGGGTCCACGGCCTTGCCCTCTCGTTATACTACTGCAGCCACCTACGTTGCTACAGGCGGAGTAAAACAAGCCTCGTCTTAGGGGCTCGCTGCACTACTCTCGACAACGCACAAAAGACAGAAATCATGGCCGTGAATCTTTCCATATTCTAGCGGAAGATTCACTCTCGTTTTGCAAATTTCGAGAGTAGTGCAGCGAGGCCCTTAGTCTGCCGCGTTAAGAAGAAGATGACGAAGAAGAATGGTGGAAACAGAGGGCAACTGCCTTTTTCACACGCTTTTTCACAAGATAAGCAGGCAGCTCACTGCCAACGCATACTAGTCTCAAGAGGAAGAATGGTTGAATAGTTGAAGCAGCGAGGACAAGAAGAAGAAAGAAGAAAGAAGACAGAAGAACTACGAATTGAGAACAGCAAGGCCCAATAAACAAATAAATAAATAAATAAATAAAAAAGGAATAGCAAGGCCAAATGCTAACAGTCCATGCACTACAAGGTTGTTCATCACAGTTCCGTCCGACACAGACAACAAAAATTCCACATCGAAAAAAAAAAAAAAAAAAAAAAAAAAAAAAAAAACAGGAATCGCAAGGCCAAATGTAACCAAAGCCATGGCCAAGTTGCTCCCGTACACGCAAGCAAAAACTTCACATCAAAAAGAAGAAAGTCGAAGAAGAAGAAGAAAAGGAAGAAGAAAAAGAAGAAGAACAAGAAGAATTGAAACAACGAGGCCAATCGCTATGCGTCACCATGTCTCAGTGATGAGCAGTAAAGCACCTACACAGACAATCAGCTCAGAAGAAGAAGAAGAAGAAGAAGAAGAAGAAGAAGAAAAAGAAAGAGTGAAGCAACTTACCGTGCTTGTTCGTTGACGCCCACTTCTGGCAGTGATTATGGCATGTGTCCCGAACTGGTCACGCTTGACTTGCTCATCAACATTAATACAGTAGTTCATACCATTCACCTCACAGAAAGCTACCATCAGATCTACGCTCCTCGTCGAAATCGTACCATCGTGCTCTCTCTCTCTCTCTCTCTCTCTCTCTCTCCTGTCTCTTATACACATCTAGATGTGTATAAGAGACAGCTCTCTCTCTCTCTCTCTCTCTCTCTCTCTCTCTCTCTCTCTCTCTCTCTCTCTCTCTCTCTCTCTCTCTCTCTCTCTCTGTGTGTGTGTGTGTGTGTGTGTGTGTGTGTGTGTAGATAGATAAACAGATAGATAGGTAGATCTTTGTGTTTATGTGTGCATGTCACCTCACACAGGCAGGTTCGGCACAGCGCACGCGCGTCAGCCACGTGGCAACCTCCAGAAGGGTCACCGGAGACAGACAAAGAGCAATCGGAACACGCCACGTGGTTCTCACACGGGTAGGCGGTTCGTCCACCAGCGAAAAGCCCGAGTAGCTACCGTAAGTACAGGCCATCCCAGATATTGGCGGGGCCGCGCGCCAAGCACTCCCTACCTCAAATAAAAAATATTTTTTGAATCCCTGAAGTAGCCAGTCACGCTTTTTTTTTGGGTAACCGCACGGCCAGCAGGTACATTCCTTTCTTCTTTTTCTGCGTGGCATGGGGGATATCCGTCCGTTAAAATTGGAACGATGGAAGGGGACCCAAGAGCCTAGCTCAGTGGGGACACCATTGAACCGTTGAAATACAGACCCGTGTTCGAAGCCAGATGAAGGAACTTTACTTGATGAGTAAAAGCCAAATATATTTCCGAAATGCCTGGGGCCGGGTCAGCTCTCAAGGCCGAACGATAGAAGGTTGGAAAATTGCATCTGTACCCCACTTAGGGCCTCGCCACACCACGCCCGAATCCCCAAAAAAAATCGGGAGCAGTCCCTACCGTCTTCCCTCGAACACAACGTATACAAACCAGTCCCAATAGACATACTGCCTGGCTGCACAGCCGAACGCTGCATGAGGCATACTACCTGGCTGCACAGCCGAACGCTGCATGAGGCATACTACCTGGCTGCACAGCCGAACGCTGCATTGCATCCAGGACCTGGCCAACCTGACCGCACAAAACAAACTAAACTGTGGACGTGATTGCAGTCAGATACATTTACTGGGACTGTTTGAAAACGAAAAAAAAAAAAAATGGCTATGTGTCTTTCCATGTTCTAAGGAAGGATTCAGTCTCATTTTGCACGGTCTGAGCACAAGATCAAAATGGCTTTTAATTTTCTCCTCCAGATGACCCGTTCCCAACTTTCCTGTACTGGAAACCAATAAAGCTACTAGTGCCTGGCAGACTAATATTGGCTAAAGTAAAAAACAGGAAAATAGTAGAGAAGATAGGCATTGTACTGACTAAACTTCTGTTGTTCTATGATTTATGGATTTACAGGAGTGACCAATTTTGAAGAATTAGCCAAAATTTTGACTGGTTATGAAATGACTTTTTAAAGGAGTGACCAATTTTGAAGAATTAGCCAAAATTTTGACTGGTCAGCCCGCAATTCATCCAAAGACCGCACCACCCTCCCCGCGACCGCCGCCACGTTGGCTCACGGAACGACCGGTCGGTCTCCTGTCAGCGACCGCGACGCCCTATATACCCACTTACAGCTATTTTTTAGGCCTAGTTGCACGCTCGCCATCCGACAACATTGTGAATGCAGCTCGACAACGCAGCTGTCTCGGTGCACTCGAAATGACGACAGAAATTCCCCAAACGGAAAAGCAGCCACTACACGACAAAACGCATCCATGTATACGCAGCCACATTCCTGGCCGCGAACATTCATTTTTAGGGTGCGTTATGTTCAGGGAAGACGTTAGTGTCAGAAGACGCAAAAATCTGAGACTCGGGAGAGTGCTTTCGGATGGAAAACGATAGGGAAAGTAACTCTTCATACACAAATTTCCGTTTCAGACTTCAGGGCCGAGGTCCCACTAGCAAAGAGGATAGGATCAAGATCCTGAATCTGGATGTGTTTTAGGAGAGATGCAGAAAAGCAGTTCAATCTCCATTTCCTGTACCTCTCCAGAAACCCGCCCAGATTCAGACATTCGATCCGGTCCTCTTTGCTAGTGGGACCACGCCGCAGGAGGGTTCGAGAGTTCACGGACCCACCGGCCGTGCTCTCGGGCCCGAGGTCCCACGATTAAAGAGGATAGGATTGAGCTCCTGAATCTGGATGTGTTTTATGCAGAGGTGCAGAAACGCAGTTCAATCTCGATTTCCTCCACCTCTCCACAATTACGTCCAGATTCAGGCATTCGATCCTATCCTCTTTGCTAGTGGGACCACGCCCCGGGACGTGCTCTTGGAGTCTAAACCTTGACAGCTCCTGAGTGAGTTCCTACTGACACTCTACTTTTTTTTTTTTTTTTTTTTACACATTGTTGAGCGCATCGGTCCGGCACCGCACGCGGCGGCGCGGGACCCTCTCGGCCGCGTCACGCAGGAGTTGGATCAACTTCCACATGAACACGCAAATGGAGCTTCCTTAGGCCGCTCCGGCCGAGTGCGCCAGCCATACCTCTCGCGAGCCCCTACGACAGGATAGGGCCTACGCAAGGCACGACTTACCTCCACCTTACGGGAGCTGTCACCTCCCTTCGGTGGGCGTATCCCCGCCGAGCTACCAGTCCACACTACGAGAGCTACTCAGTTGCAATTGCAGAGGTGGACCAGCCGAGGGCGTTTCTCGTTCGCTGTGGCATAGGGGGTACGCGCGGTAATACGCTTATCGGACCCGCATGCGAACCGACATCTTGGGGGTTGAAGTCCCAAGCGCGGCTCGACGTCGGTCGACTAGGACGCATCCCACACACCACGCGCACACCACTTCTACGAACACAAAAATAAAACACATGCACACACGCGTACAACGCGACGCAACACGAGCAACGCGACAACGCTCCTAGCCCCTCGGTAGCTGTCCCATAACTCCCTGATGCAGAAATCAAATAGGCGTCGCGCGCGAGACTTAATATAAACTGCGCGGACGCGAGGGTTAACTCATAACGACTCGCAATGCAAGCGTACGCAAGCAATCGCGATGACGGCGTACTATGTGGTACCCACACTCGCGCAACCCTCGTTAATCTCGAGGGTCACGTTCGACACTCAAGTGTCGGCAGACACGCGCCTTGAGGGTTAATCTCTCGATGCCAGGCAACCGCCATGTGCGGTTGAAGACCACACCCTCTTCTGCACCCTTTGCAGAGGGGTTGAGTAGACAACTTTAAGCTGTCGTGGCATTTAGACATCAAGGGGTTTGACTTTGACGGTTGCCACGGACTACAACATCCAACCATAAAAACTCTGAAAAACAGACGAATAGGCCGAGCCCCCCCCTCCTCCTTTGTTCCAACCGCTGTCATAATCTTTGGGGTATCCTCTCTCTCCTCGGGTAATGCACACGGCCTACAATAACCACAAGCGTTTGCGTCTACGTGTGAGTCTCACGATCCCATAACTTTTAGGCGTTGGGGCGGCGAAGCATCGCACGCAGGATTTTGACATACGGCCGCGCGGCTGCCGGCCAGCCCCATACCGACCAACGATGTCAATCATACGTGGTAATCGCGGCTCTAGCCTTGCGATATTGAATGGCTGAAGGAACACATCGCGAGGCGTCACCCCTCACGATTATTGAACGGTTGAAAGACACGTCGTTCAGCCCTCACGACGTTTTCGCCTTTTAGGCGGAGTGTCCCGCCGACCAAGATAAATAGGCTCTATGCGAAGGGAGACTCCTCCCCTTCAGGGCCTAGGGCTTGGGATGTCTTGGACAAGGACCTTGAATCCCGGCCCAGGACCAACGTCCGACTAAGTAAGCCCCAAGACGCAAATGGCCAGAGGGGAGGGTCCTCCCTATCCCTCGATCCCACTCTTACGCGGTGTTAGTATGACCTCTTAGGTCTCCCCAACACTCATCGTACGTATACCCACGCATACATACAAAGGAGGAGTAAAGTTGTGACGATCACTTCTCACAGGCACAGTGGGACTCCTCACAACCATGTATATGTATATGGAGTCGCAGGCAGTCAAAATTCAAAATCCGAATCACAAGACATACCTGCAATCACACCAAGAGTCAAACGACAAAGCACGCACTACACGGAGTCAACCCCAAACATTCTCTATGCTCATACCCCTTTGCTTCAGCCATGCAAGCCCCAATCGCCGATCCAACCAACCTCAATTAAATACTCAGTACCTTTGTTAAATGGTCATTCAACAAAAGTCCGCGTGAAACCTTTAACAAACAGTAAAACCACCCGGGCTAAAGCCTTTTAGGTTGAGTATGGGGAGTGAGTTGGAATCGAGTCGAAGACCGACGAAAAGGCAACCGACCTGTTATCAGTGATAACAAAATGTGGTCCTTGTAGAATCAAGCTGACTCTAATCCAGATCATGAATCGAATGACCAAAAAGACCTGTAACACAAGACAGGTCAATCCCCAAGCTAGATCTATAAGTCCTTGGAGGGTAATCACAATCTCGCTCCAAGGCCTACCTTGTTGACTGACCCCAAGCCTACCCCTAAATAGTGCCCAAAGCAAAGGTAGGCCCTGACAGAATTTTCCCTATCCAGGGTGGATCGCCAGAGTCGCCACCTGTCAAAATATAATCTATCTTTTCTAAACTAAGAAAATTCCGGCATCGCCTCCCGTAGGAAAAGTCAAATTTTGTCTAACTCCCTGAATTAGTAAAAATTTGGGCAGCACTCCATTTAGAAAGGGAGATTTCTCTGATTGACACTAAGTCGGATATGAACTCAAAAGACAACTTGAATCCAACTTAGACAAAATTTTAACTAACTCCTAAGTTTTGCAGAAATTTCGGCAGCACTCCCTCTAGAAAAGTGTTATTCCAAAATTTATACAAGATTAAATTTAGAACTTTGGAACTACTTTCTAAAGTCCAATTTTGTCTAACTCCCTGATTTAGCAAAAATTTGGGCAACACTCTCTTAAGAAAATGAGAC